GTCTGGATACATGTCTTGCAGATCTGTTCCCAACTAGCAAATTCACCGACGTGTTAGGTCACTTTTGTTATATTAACTCTTTGTTCCAAATACGTAGAGAACGTGAATACAGATACCTCCACATTTTTCAAAAGTATGAAGGGTCTGAGGAATACGCTAGCCGACTTGCCAATCAAAGCCGTTGCGTTTAGCATTTTTCCAAATGGAATGGTGTCAGGGACCTCCCCTGCAAAACAAGTGATTTGCGACGATGACTTTTCGAAAAAGGTTGTAGCCGGGACTCAAGCACCTCATTATAATCCTAGTCGTCTACCTGACATGTTGGCAAGCCAAACTTCAATGTCCCCTCCTTTTGGAACCACCCCAGACCTTTGATGAACATCTTCCGAATTGTCTCTTCGAGCACATCTGCGGGTCCGACCAAAGTCTCTCCAAAAACCTCAAGACCCACCCGAATAGTAAGGAATAAGCTTCTTTCTGCCAGTCGAGTTGGTCTATGAGAGAAATTTCCACAGAAAGTCTTTTATACTAATTTTACCATTTCCACGAAAGCACTGTCTGTGTGGGTTCAAAGTATCATGTTGTGATCCTTTTTTGAGTGGGAATTCCAACCTTGCCAACCTGAACCCGCATTCATATACAAAGCCTTCTTCATCTTCTTTCGTGTCGTGTGCTCAATTGATTGAATGAGACACCGATTGGTCTTTTTTAAGATCGGGAAGATCATTTATGCGTAAAGTTGAGTAGTACGAAAAGAAAAATTTGAGAAAATTAAGGCTATTCTTTCTGTTTTGAACAAATAGCGATTGAGAACAACCCTCAGTCAAGGTCGAGAGCTTAGCATCAGATTCGATTCTCTTCGCCAAACACAGGACGCATGACTGGTTGACGTGCTCTTTCGCAATAGGAAGGTTCAGAAGCATGAGGATCCCATTTCTGTGCTTGGTCTTTCTCAGAGAAACGCTTGCCGCGAAGAGGAATGATGCCAGAAAAGTAACGAAAGGAGAAGTAAAAATAGGTTAGGAAATCGATGCAAAAACTTCGTCTGCCTCAGGGTGTCCACATAATTTTGATACAAAGAAAAAACTTTCCATGAAAAATAGTTCGCTAAGTTAGAACGAAATCTTTTGCCGAGAATGTCATAGTAAGGTTATCGCCACAGATTGAAAGTAAAGGTTTCGTAAACATAAAACCCATTTAACTGACTCCTGAGAGTCGATTCTAGGGTGTCCACATACTTTTGGTACGCACTGTATATAGGTGGTTTTCCGGTTTGGTCTTTGGCTCTCTAACACTAAGGATAAGATAATATGTCAACGACTCATTCGACATGCACTTTTGATAAAGACCGGTAGATGTCCTACATTCCACACATCTTGCCCACATCCTATCCAATTTCTACGCCAAGTTGTTCACACTGGCACTCCTTCACCCGTAGGCGAGGCAAAGACCTTCAGTTCCCGTTTCCTTGAGCCACTGCAGGCCTAATTGCGAAAGCATGCAGGCCCAATTGTGAAGCATTCCGGATTACTTCCACGAACTAAACTGATCTTATAAGGGTATACTTCAATGAGTCGTTAGTATATCATGCGCGCTCTCATATTCTTAGGTAGCTCGTGTCCACAATGAGTGCTCCCTCCCCCGCCCCCAAACTGAGCTTATCTTCCCAAAAGATTTCAATATTCTGGCAGTATTATGCTATACACTGCGTTTCATAATTATAGGTCCACCCTAATTTTTTGCTATTCCAAAGTTGCTGTGCATTTTTGGAAAATGCCGCTATTACCAATAGTTTCCCCATAACGAAAAACCTTGATACTTGATTTCTGGAGAAATCTCGATTCAGAATTATTAAAATATCTTCCTTAGAACGTATTTTCACCGTTTCGCAAATATGACTACACATCACTTGTCGAGAGATTTTACTATAACGAAAAAACGTCACGAATTTTCAATAATGGGATGACCCCCCAATAATCATAAGGAACACAATAATACGTTTTGAAATGCTGGTAGCCAAATTAGCTATTACAGTAGGATCGAAATTCGTCTGGGCGCCGATGATCGACCTTTTCAGCTTTTCGGCTGTTCCATTTTGCTTTACTTTGCTGTGGAACTTTATAACAATTAAGGCCCAATGATTCTCTATTGGAATCTATTAGGTCATCTCATTCAAACATGTCCAGACATCTAGAGAATGGTGGGAAGAGTAAAAGAGCTAGAGCATTCTGCTTGCTTTTGTTTTGAAGCTAGCACACCTAGCTACGGTATACCCCAATTAAGTTTGTAGTGCCGCAGAAGGGTACACTTAAAAAATAAGAAAACTCATTGTGACCAAAATCGAGGCGGAATTTTCAAATGATTGGTGATATACGTAAAATTCGCAACTCGAATTCTCTGTGTGCTGGCTCAGCTTACGCGTGATACAGTGTTCTCGAAGTGCTACGTTGAAGATATGGTGTGAGAGCTCAAAGAAGGAAGAACGGATGGGAGTTGTGGTTGAGGACGCGCTCACATTGCCCGCCTTGCCGAAGAAGAGCGGTGGATGAAATGAGGTTTCAAATGGCGCATCACAGACGCTGAACCTTTGCGATGTTTGCCCACGAGACTTGCAGTCTAGCTGCAGCTGTTACGCGAATTGTGCCCAAAAATTAGGGATGGTCCACGGAACATGTTTTTGGATATCTCATTTACTCCCAGATGCAAGAGTCCTAGAATCGAATTGGTGTCTGTAGCATTGATTTTCTCTGCCAATAACGTCATTTAAGAGTATCAAACTGGACCCTGCTCATAAACGAAATTTGAGTGGAATTGTACGCTGAGGCCAAGTCAGAAGTGTCAACTTTGGATTAACGCGAATGAGGAACTACCCGAATTGGATCACGAAAAGTCACGTGGGTTCACGTGGATGATTATTATGGCGATGGATTTCTGAGATGTGCCTCTTAAATGGCTCTGTCGGGAAAAAACCTCCATCGGTGCTCAAGTGTATGGCTTGTTTCTTAGCGATCAAATTGACAAAGGAATAGCAGTACAAAACTACAATAACGATATCATCACCTATGCCGATGCCAGACCCCACATAGCTCATATTGCTCACGGGTACTTCGACCAAACGGATATTGTGACCTCTTCTTATCAGCCGTATTTCCCCAACTGCAGCCGTGCAACCTCAGCTGTTTTAGCGAAGTGAAGGCACTACTCGTTGGCAAGCGGGTCGTTAACAACAACAAGACCTGCTTGACTTAACACACAAAGTATTAGCTTTTTACCTTTCCTGCTGTTCATTTATTCGAATAAAACCGTGGACATGTTTGAATGAGATGACCTAATGGAATATAATTCAGATAACATGGTGGCCACCAGATAACTGCCACATTTTTTCCTGCAATTCCATCTGGCGCGGAGGGACCGGCATGGACAGCCGCGTTATCGTGTGTGAAAATCAAGGATAGAGGGGATCCTTGTTGAAAAAATGGTAAGACTCGCTTCGAAAGAACTTCACGATACCCTGTGGAATCTTTGTGAACGGAAACAAAAGCGAGCTCTAGCTACTCAGTCGTTCAAAGGTGCCTCAAACCATAAGGGATTCACCGCCGAAATTACGTTACATTGAAACCATCTGCGATTTTCACGCGATCATCCTGTACCCTCTTTTTCTGCCATATCCACCTAGAATAAACTTTTCCACGTCGATCTCAGACCACCTGTAGAACGAAACAAGGAGGTAGAGTCCAAGATCGCGAATGGAGACTTGCGATCTTGTAGCGCTCAAATAATCTTGGAACGCTCTTCATCAATCCGTTGAAGATGTTATTGCTCTGCTGGCTTACTCACCACACGGTGGTTTTGCTCACGGAAGGCCGCATTTCAGTACGGACTTTGTTCGGACTCCTTGTATAATTCGAGAGAAGACACCCAATTCCTCCTAAATTTTGAAGGAAACGCAGTCTTTATTTACCTAAGCGACTCTTCTCTCCGCACTGACCAGGATTTTGCACATAGTCGCTTATGCAGTATGAGCCGGCCGACATGGGAGGAAATTCTGCTCCTCAGCTATCCCACTTCAGTAAGTGCTCTAGCTTGAGCTTGTTACTGGGAAGAGAGGCGAATAACACGAGGTATGGTAAACTCGATGTCGACTGAGCCCACATATTTCCCCGCTTCCCTGATTCCCTTCACGGATCGTGAGAAATGGAAACTTTTTATGAGTGGCCCGATATTCATGAAACGGTGAAAATTCGTTCTAAAAAAGTTAATTGGGTTACTTGAGGGGGAATTTGTCAGAAAAACACTATGAAGGTTTTCCGTGATGAGGAATCTAACGGTGATAGCAGCATTTCCAAAAAATGCACAGCAACTTTGGGGTAGCAAAAATTTAGGGTGGACCTATAATTATGAAACGCAGTGTATACTAGCCATTACAGCAAGCCTCTCCTCATAGATAACACCACGTTTGTATCGACATTGTCCATGACTGTGGATTCGGCTGAAAGCTTGGCTTCAAGGGTAATTGGACCCGCGTTAGAACACGAATATAACGCTCGCAGAACATCTCGGATCACCAAATTCGCTGGAAACTTGTCTTCAGAGGTACTTTGACCCGTAGAACATGAATATCACATTAGTTCGTTGCGAGTGAGCCTGTAGCCTGCGCTACGGGCGCCCGCGCAAAACTGTTGTGATAGCGCCGGCGCCTGTGGCGCGGGCGCCAAGCGTTTTCGCGCTAAACCGGTGTGATATTCGTGTTCTACGGGTCAAATTACCCCTGGAAACAAGTTTCTAGCCAAATCCACAGTCATGGACGAATTTCGATCAAAATCCGGCTCAGTTCTTGAGGAGTGGGGCAGTAAAGGAGTAAATAGTGCCCTGATTTTGTTCTCTAGTATTCGACGTGGAACATTGCGTTCCCTTGCCCATTCACTCAAAGTGAAGGAAAAAAGTAAAACAATAAGATTCTATTTGTGCCATGCCTTTTGAAATGCATCACTTCCAAAAGCATGAAAGGCATAGTGCCAGTTGAGAAGAGCAGACAATAGCTAAATTTTTCCCTGACGTTGTTGGCGTTAGCTACGATTATAAGCTCTAAACAAAATAAAAAAAATAACCAAATAAAATCAGTCGCGTTTTTTTCAGGGTTGGGGAGCTAATATGTTCACCATAGTTGACCGTAAAAACAACAAGGCTATTTCCTACATCAGCGCATTAGGATCGAAGTGAGTCTTACTCGTTAATTTTCACGGCTATTGGATCAATACTAAAAAATAAATTGAAAAACAATCGGAATCAAAAACACTGAAGAGGGGGGAGAAGGAAGTATATGGTGGTGAGTACGTGCAACCTCTAGATGAAAGCTACTGACCATGAGTTGCACGTTCAATCTCACTGAAGGTAAGATGTGAAAGAGTATCTCCAAATGAGAGTTACGAGACAATATCCCTGAAATTTCCTCCACCCAGATTGTCGTAATATTTCATGAGTTATTTGAATAACCTTTGAATATTTGAAATATTCAAGTCATGGAACTTTAAACAAAAATGCCGTTATCCTGCTGTTCAGGTTTGGATCAGGAGTAAGCATAAACGACTCGTATTATCTGAATGATTTTGGTCGATACAAAACTTCACATCACGACATTCTCAGTGGCTTACTTCCAGCTGTGGCTAAAAGCGGACCAAGCGGACCAAAGCAGGTAGATTTGTTAGTATTTGCAAATTAAAGGAATAGGTAAAGGAACGCGTCAAAACTGGAAAAGAATCCGCTGCTATTCTCTATTACGCTTCCCTTTTTTATTACTTTTAGCCTTCATTCGTGCCCACGCACGCACCCAAGCGCGTTCACCATCTCGAAGGCGTTGGTGTCTGCTACCCAGTAATCCCTCACTCGCTCTCGTCACCGTGTCGGTTCTCTTGCTTAGGCGTCTCGAGTTCCTCTTACCGTCTTTCTCCACTTCTCAGGGAGTGAAGATCCTTGTTTCATTGCTCTCCTTTCCTTTTTTTTTCTTCACCAGCGAATCAACGAACCCTCACTAATTCTTTATTTCTGCCCCATTGCTCCTGTTCCATCATCAAGAAATGTACCTCCCTACGGAAGTGTCTCATGCATGAGGGGAGGAGAGAAATAGTGGCATGGCATGTGAAGCTGCATACCGAGCGCGGTCCGGGGATCAAACCCTAGGACGTGCATCACTCGGGCCGATCAAGCCTCAACCGTCTCACGTTCGAACATTTTCGGGATTTTTGCGACCCCCTGTTTTTGTTAATAAGAGTGCTAGACATGAATCCGTTGCGCCAGAAAGCGTCTGCGCGTCGTCGCGTCGGCCTTGGAGCGCGGCAGGTATCACCCGGGCGCTGGAAGAACGGGACGCGGCGAAGAAAAAATTTTAGAGGGGAATAACTTTCTTGGGACGTATTTTTTGACTTGTTGAGGTAGATTTTGATTGTGCCTGAGGTGCGCTTCCAGAAAACTACAAGGATTGCCTAACTCTCCCGAAAGCAGGGTCAACCGTCCGTTCGAACAGTTCGAACGGGGGGGTCGCATTTGGGCTCTGGGAGGGAAAGGGGGTCGCATTGCGCGCGCTTTGGTCATCAGGCAGGGCAGAGGTGTGTGTGAAAAAAAGCAAAAAAGTTGCCGTTTCAGTGGTTGTATATACCCCCCGCTCGACGGCTATTTTTGGGGAAGAAGTAGGCGGAGTTTCGGAGTTTTAGGTAGGTTTTGGGCTGTGTCAACTGGTCTCAGAATCAAATACTATAGAAGAGGGAAGGTCGCGGTGGGGGGATGGCTGGTGTTGTATTGGGGGGTCGCAATTGTGTATTGGTGGGGGTCGCAACTGGACCCCTTCAGAGGGGGGGGTCGCAAAAATCCCGAAAATGTTCGAACGTGACGGTTGACCCTGCCCAAGTACTTCTGTTAGAAGCGGAAAACCCAAAATTCTAAGAAGGCGCACCTTCAACTTTGAAGGCCCATAAAATCTTTCGTATGCGACATTTTGGAAATCTGTAAAAAGTTTCGGAAACTTCAAATATTTCTCTAACAAAACAGTATAAAAAGTTAGTGATTGTCCCCTTTTTCAAAAAATTGTCCCGTTCGAACATTTTTCGTGCAAAAGCGAGTTTTTGGGCTTTCAGCGACCATAACTCACTTCATTTTCATTTCTGTGATGCACTTTTCCATGGGGTGAAAGTGCAGGATTTGCTCTTTCTAACAAGCCCTGAACCGTTTTTCAAAGTTCATTTTTCGAGAAAATCACACGTTCGAACATTTTGGGGGGTTTTGCCGAACACTTTTTTTGAAATCGCGAGTTTTTGGGCTTTAAGCGGGCATAACTCACTTCATTTTCATTTCTGTGATGCACACTTTTCATGGGGTGAAAGTACAGGATTTGCTCTTTCTAACAAGCCCTAAACCGTTTTTCAAAGTTCATTTTTCGAGAAAATCCCACGTTCGAACATTTGGATCCCATAGGTTTTTGAGCAGCACATGCGAGTTTTCGAGCTTTCAGCAATAATAACTTCCTTCAAAGAGCATGTTGGAAAGAGGCGAAGACATTTTTGAAGACTACGAGGTTTCTTCTTTCTTATGTGTTTACCATTTGTCTGGAAGAACCGTCCTCAGAAAAGTAGGTTCCCGAAGAAGTTCAATTTCAGCCACAAGAAGTCAAACCTTTCATGGAGATGCATTCAACTGTTCTCTATTCCTCAAGGAAAACACCGTAATTTGCCCAAAACTGTCTCTCTGTGCATAATTAATCGAATCTAATGCGGTCTGCACAAACAATTCTTGCCCTCGGATACGCCACGCACGCGCCTGTGGCTGGCAGTCCTCGAAATTGCGACCCCCTTCCGACCAAAATGCGACCCCTTCGTTCGAACAGTTCGAACGGACGGTTGACCCTGTCCAGAGCCGTCCCGGGGATCACAACCCTATAGCATACATTAGTCGCGATCAAATCCTCACATTAATTCCTACCAGACTTTGGTGGAGATAAAACAAACAATTTTACATCACCCGTCCCCTCAGCCATTTAATATAAGCTAAATACTTCGATCCCCACTCGATTCTGAATGGAGGTTAGATGCGTGGCGACATCCCAAAACGATTGTTAAAACGTTCTGGCTAAATCTCTTACTATATGAAATGTTACTCAAGCGACCATCATCTCAATTAACTTTATATTTAATAATAACTTAATAAATTAAAATAATAATAATTTAATTTAATATTTGGCTCGGATCGATGGAATTGCTGTTGTTTGAATGAGCTGATTTGCACAGTACAAACCTCACCTGGGAAAACTTGATGAAAAAAAATAACAAAAAATGATATAACCGGTGATGCTTTCTCATTTAGCGGGTCAAGTTCGCCTATGCAGCAATAGGTGGAGCTGTGGCTCATACGAGATCAGTACCACGAATGATCACCTCATATCTGTTGAACATCTTCCAATCAATTAATCTACACATACAAACTTTGCTGCCGCTACTCTATGAATAAACGGTTTACCGCATATAAAGACGGAGTTCCATTTTGTGGTGAGTATTTTGGCATTGATTATGGCAACATAGGGCTTCTTTCCGCTTGTTTGTCCTAACAGATGACAGCAATCAAGTAGCAGCACGTAGTCACTTACCAGTTTCGAATTGTCTTGAATAAGAGCTAACCTAACTACCCAATTGTACGCCTTCCAAAGCCACCATGATTGCTAGTGCATTCAATTCCGGCGGATACGATTGAATGGAGGACGAAATTCGTGTGCATGGCTCATCTGAAATGAATTTGCATAGCCCAAAATTTCTTTGTCGTTTTATTAATGATAGCATCTGTATGAAATCGTAGGAACACAGCTGCGCCTCCTTCAACGGCGCCCACCCCGAAACAACGGCAATGTATCTTTTTATAGAATAAAAGTATAGAGGAATGATAACGGCAGAGAAAACGCCGTGGTAGGTGGATCTACCAGCTGTTCTCACTGTTGCTTTCAGAATCAACACTGCAACGTAGACAAGATATCCAACGGTGCCAGGCCACTGGCAATCTTGGTGAGCCTGTTAGAAAATCAGGGCGCCTATCGTCTAGTGACTCGTCTTCGATGTGGCAGGTACACCACCTCTACACTTGCATACCCCAGCCACTTCTAACATGAAGGGCTTCTCAAGTGGTCTGAAGCCCGAATTTTACCTTTCTTCTCTGTCTTAGGATATGTTCCTTAAAAAGCCGCAACTGAGAGTTGATAGCTTGCTATTTGGTCAGACCTCGTTTTGTCGCCTAAGCCCATTACCAGCCACGGAGACCGGCATGGTTAGCGCCGGCAGCCATGTGCGATTGCGTATAAACTGGGGCTACGTTGGAAAGAAGCTGCCTGCTTTTGATCGGTTATGACTGCCCTGATTGAAATCGTATCGTATTTTCTTTGTTTGTATTGGTGCTGTGCGTCTGCCGCCGCATTTGTAGCTGGCACAGACCAGCAAACCTATACCGGCAGGATCAAGCTTGCAACTCGTCCGGCCACACCATCTCCCTATATCAGGGGGAAGAGAGGGAGCCCTTGTTTAAGGGCTCGGCGGTTTTCTCTGCCTCACTTTTTATTTTCAGTCAAGTCGGCATCCACAATTTGATTATCGACCGCTTTTCACCAGCAATTCGGTCTGGGTTTGTTGCTTCAAAGCTTAAACACAAGTTGCTTCAGGACCTTCTTAACAAGAAGAAGAATCCAACAAAAGCGCCAGACATCGCCGATGAGGCTGTCAGTGTTGAAGTCATAGGTTTGTCTTTTTATAATATGAAGGGTGAGCAAAAAATTACGGTAACAAGATAAATTGGCTCAAAAAAATCAGTGTTGCCGAACAGACTCAAACCAGCAACGACATCATACTGACAGAAGATTGTGGAACAGAAAACAATACTACACCTTGGTCTGCCCGCTTTCTGAATTGATACAGCCCTGGAATACACAGCGTTTCCTACAAAGTCGCACGTAGATGTTCCGAGAAGTTTCATGAAATATGAAAAAGGTCTGTACGAGGTCAGAGAAGGAGGGGGCTACACGTTAACCGTAGCGTGGTCAGCGCAGGGGTGCGGCATTGGCCACCAAACCTTATAACTCGTTTTCAGAAAGTCTCGGAGATCGCGGAAAACATGTTTAGAATAATCTTGTGGAAAGCGGAAGCGTCTAGTAAACTGGTGATGGTCATGTGCCTTCCACTGTGCGCAGAGTGTCGCTTCAAATTTATAATTCGGTCCCAAGAACCTCCTCAACCTGCGGAAAAATGTAGACGGTCACGAAGAAAATGAAGTAACGACTAATGGCTAGTGGGCATGCACTAAAGGGGGAAAGTTTTGAATGGTCGCGTTACAGAAGCTGCCGAAAAGGATGGATCTTCTAGAGCAATACATAATCGACCCTTAGTAGGCACGACAACTCGCCCAAATTCACTCTGCCCCTCGCAGGGCGACAGAACTCATGCACTACTCCAGAAATTAGCTGAACGGCGTGACGACTCGTCTTCGCTGCCACTCGTGTCGAATATTTTCCGACACCCTCGTGGCCTATCGGTCGTTCGTCGTCGCGTGGCGAGTTTTGCAACAACGTCCCCCGCTCCGATCGGATGGCTATTGTGAGAAAAATGACGTGGAAAACAATTTCATCAATCATTCCTGAAAAACCCTATCACTGAGTACATCAGTTCCACGATGCCAATATCTTACAGCACGTCAAGTGGTTCTCGAAACGTTTCTCTTTTTTTGCCAGAAAAAAATCAATGGTGGCCTCGAAAAAATTTTCTTTCAAACATCCTTAGTCTGCAAGGCTTGGGAATGGAAAACATTAGAAACCTTAGTTATCAATATTTGGAGGGCGTTGCTCAAGTGAGCAAAAAAATGCACCAAAATCGTTCCGCCGACCACTGTGACTGCTACTGTAGGTAGTTCTATTTTATTGTTTCAGATGGAGGACACAAATTAGTCGCCGCTCACAAGAACGTCAAAGAACGCTACTCACTTATTCCAAGTGGGATATAAGCTATACCTTGATTTTATTGTTATGAAAATTATGCAATGTTATACCTTAATTAAAAATAATATCCGTTTGCTTCAGTAAATGGCACCTACAGAAATGACTGAGAATGAAAGACTTAAGATTTCTGAGAGAACAGTATGGAGCAATCATCAATAATCTTCAAAAAATAGCGTTGCGCAGGTTGAGAGGTGATGTTATTCACACGCTTGATGCCTCAACAACGCCTCCAAAAACCATCCACGAGATTCATATGCGCAGGTGGCTTCCCTGATGACGACGCCATCCCAGCGTCAAGAAGCGCTGCTCATCACCACTCCAAGTGATTTACGTCCGTTGCACCACTTGCAGTTGGATTGGTTCGCCGGCAGAGTGCAGCAGTGCTCGACTGGGGATGGGTCCCCAAAATTTTGCATCTCTGGACGCAATGCCCCTATCGCTAGACACGAATGACTGGCCTCATCAAGCGGAGCACGCGAGAATTTTGGGACCTGCCCCGCTTGGAAACTGGCACACGGCAAAATTTAGCCTAAATGTCTGTTCCACCTGGGAGATGAAAATGATATTTTTGAGGAAAAAAACTGAATATCATCTCCGAGTAAAGTTGTTAGGGCTGCAGCCAGAGTAACTACCGAACAGAGACCCTAAGTCAGTCGATCCATGCGGACTCATCCATTTTATGGTACAATTCAATCCACTTAGCTGTTTGTATAAACTGTAAGCACAGATGTCAGAGTGGAATATGAAGAAAAGAAAAAAAATATGCTAAATCAAAAGTCCAAATATCTCAGTCTTGAGAACGATACCAGAATGCGGTACCCGAAATATCTTCATAACTCTTGACACCGGACTCGTAAATTAAATACTGAGGACCTCACATCGCAACCCAACTCCCAACTCCCCTTGTGTAAGTCCAGAATCCACAAGTACAGAGCCGCGACACTTTCGCAGCTCGGAAGGCATCCAAGGCCCCAAAGGGCATCCTGACTGCGACCACTAACTTGCTGCCAGCAGACTGCGTGTTCGCCCTGTGCTACACCCTGTGCCAGGGACCTCTCTCTCTTCTTCTCTGTACGACTTGCTCGCTCGTTTCCAACGCGCGCTCTCCCAGTCTCCGTCGTTCCAACAAAGGAGACCTCCTGCATTTCGTTCTTGTTTGTTTACACCATCTTTTCTAAAAGGTTTCCTTCTTATCATTTCCACTAACGGCCTCTTCGCACCTAATGCTTCATTTTGACTGAGATAACACACCACTTCGATTGCGACGACCCGTGCATTTGAACGACGAGCTGGCTTATGAGCAGGGTAAGCCGTGCGTTCGCATTATTCGAACGAGGGTGGTCGCATTTTTTTGTTGCTTTTGGGGAAGGAGGTTGCATTCAGAGGTTGAATGAGGCGATTTAGAGTGAGGTTTTGAGGTACTTGTCGAGATGTATTTTGCGCACTGGGTAGTAAGATAGTGGAGATAAGAAAGTTTGCGATTTCTATTGCCCATCAAGACCCCCCTACAGGAGGGGGTCACAAAGTATTGAAAAAAGTGTACGCACTGACCATTTAAGATAGAGTCAAAGAATCGAACCGATAAAAAATTGTCACAACATATCTTCGTATTAAATTTCGCAAGACAAGTTTTTAAACTCTGAATACATATTATTTCAAACCAATTTTTGCATAATTTTCGTAAGACCAAAATTATTTTTGGCATGCTCATTCATTATTGCAACCCGATGCCATGTGAAGCCACTCAGTAATTAGCCATCTGGGGATTACAACACTCCAAACATGTTTGCGTACATTGAGAACACTGAGTTTCATGGCCAACTGCTGCCATACAGCCTTTTCGCGAGTAAGCATAGCGAGCCGCGGCAACGTCACCCCACGGCGTATCAATTGCCGTCTAGCATTCCATACTTCAAAACATATTCACAACACTCTTGGAGAGCCCTGCAGTTTCTCTATGATCATGCCTACAGTATCCGTCGAAGATGAAGTAGTACATAAAGGTTACGGTAACACAAAAAAAACATCAGGAATTATGTAAAGTTGATAATATCGTATCAACACATCAAAACCAAAACATATTTTCACAGGATCTTGCTTTCAACAAAAACGCCTATCACAAACCCTTTCTGGTTATCGCAAGACATTTCGATTATTCACGTTTCTTCAACGTCTTTAAACGTACGTATTGGGGTCAAGAAGTGATATAGGAATACCTCCTTTCAAAAACGAGAAGAGCGTCGGGTGCAGACCATACACCACAAGTGACGACGGCCTCCACAAAATGTAAATGTTTTCTGCCAATGAAATGATTAGCCTGTTGCAGTTGTATTCTATCAGTTGTCACTAATTACAACTATCATTTACCAAAAATCAGCTATCACTATGAACCACTACTAACCAGATTTACTTGGAGGCCGTCGTCACTTGTGGTGTATGGTCTGCACCCGACGCTCTTCTCGTTTTTGAAAGGGAGGGTACATACGCAAGCGATACAGGCATACATCCACAAGCCATAACGCAAGGAACGGAGGAACTGCTCTTTGCTTCAGAGAAAAAGCGTCGAGTGCAGAACACACACCACAAGTGACGACGGCCTCCAAGTAAATCTTGTAACTAGTGATTCATAGTGATAGCTGATAGTTGGTAAATGGAGTTGTAATTAGTGACAACTGATAGAATACAACTGCAACAGGCTAATCATTTCATTGGCAGAAAACATTACATTTTGTGGAGGCCGTCGTCACTTGTGGTGTGTGGTCTGCACTCGACGCCCTTCTAGTTTTCTGAAGCTGAGTATACACATCCAAAATAGCGGCAAAATTATTTTGTATTAACGTTTCTGGTATAAACTAGAGTTAGTTTAAAGAATGAGAAATTGGCTTATCCATAACGCAGCTCTATCCTTACCAAGTTCCTGATCCTCTGGCTCACGAAGCTTTTCGCAAAACCAGAGCAAACCGCCGCACTATTGGTTGGTTTACTCAATTTTTGTCATGGAATCAATGGTAAATGGAACTTAATAAAATACTTTGTCCATTGGAAAGTGCCTCATATTGTCAGCTTCAAAGATCGCATTCCTTATCAAAGATTGCTTTACACAGAACGGTTTCTCTGCTGTCGTCTTATGTATTTACCAGTTTTGCTCCGCCCGCTATCGCGCGCATCACACGGCAGGCTTTAGCGAAACTGGAGGACCCATGGAATATCAGCATGAGGTACTCCATTAACCACCTCACTATTGAATGTGTTAGACCTTTCCCAGTTTCGCTGAAGTCCATCGAGAATACGCGTGATAACGTCTGGAGCTGAACTGGCATATTTATCTCACAACTGTAAACATCCAGCATTCTTCTTGAATTCAGATAATTTAGCGGTGAATAGGATTGCTGTCAGTCTCAAAATGAAAATGAAATATGCCTATTTACATAAGTGAGAGCTAAGGCTTATCATTTATTTACATTCACCATTATTTAGAACCCCGAAAGGATTAGCGGTTTAATGAGTTTGGCTTTCTTGATAGAAATGAAAGTTATCATTTGCTGAAGACTTGATTGAGTTTATGCAATCGACTGCTATTAAGTAAGCTGGTCATACAATGATACAATGTGCACGTACCACTACAAATAGAATTTGTAAGTAGGGACGCTCTAGTGCCAGCGCAAGCCTAACGCCGAACGAGACTTGGTGCAGTTCTGACGCGCCTTATCAGCCTTTATCAGTTCTTACTTTCAATCACCCACCAACAATGTCCCCGTCCCACCCCACATAACACTTGTAAGTATGGATGCTCTGGTGTCAACGCGAGCTGGGTAACGGAATCGACGACTTTTGCGTTCTGACGCCCCTTATCAGCCCTTATCAGTTGCTATCGCTTCCATTCATGTACCACCAATGTCCCGGGACCACCCCACATAACACTTGTAAGTATAGACGCTCTAGTACCAATATGAACGACAAAACGAAATTGGCGATGCTCGCTTTCTAGCCCCTCTTATCAGCTATTATCAGTCGTTATCAGTTCCTATCACGTACCACTTGTGTCCCCATCCCACCCCCTATAACATATGTAAGAACCACAGCGGCCAATCCAGAATGCAACTGCTCTCAAGGGCTTGAGTGCTTCCCAAGTCCATTCTTTCTACGAGACCAAAACAAGTTCTTACCGTACTATTTTTCTAATCAGCTGTAAAAACTATACATTTTTGAATTGTTTCCGATTTTTATTCATGTTTTTGGCCGCGATCAGCCGTGTACGGCGTCTGCGCCATACTACTGTAACATGAGTTCCGCATGTTTGAAATGTGGAGCAGCTCGTAAAATGTACTCAATAATAGCATTTTTTCTTTACTCTTATTCTACATGACCGCGGAAGCAATGAAATGGCTGAAAGCATGGCAGGAGCCCCAGAAACCACATTGTAAAGCTTGTAGGTGCCTTTTGTGTCGAAGGGGAGGGACCCACCAATGGAAGGGCGCAGTGTTTCCAGAGATCCCGCCCTCGAGCTCAGCGTCCCAACCGTATTTAAACCGACATTTCCTACTTTTAAGTTCATAGCGTTCCATTTTGCCTTCAATAACTTTTCAATAACTCCTGTAGAGGGTGATCTCTCTGATTTTCTTCCATTCGATCTCTTTCTCGACTCAAACACTCTCTTCAAACTCACTCCAATGACTCCCTCTCGAGAATCATTCTGTTTGATTTAAGTGACACAATTTTTCGAGTTTTCGCTATACTAAAGGGGTCTATCCAGTTAGGGGGGCATCATGATGCGTTTTCTCAGTGAACTCGAACATTTCTCAAAGATGCTCCTTCATTTAATGGTAGTCTTCCAAGCTCATGAGCTCATGAGCTTGGAAGACTACCATTAAATGAAGGAGCATCTTTGAGAATTGCAAAGCAGTTATACACCACACCACCTAAACAATGACCGAGGCTTTAAATCATTGGATTCGCACTGAAAGGGATAAAGCATGAGGCTTTCGCCGCTGATCCCTTCCTGGTT